AGCCTCCTTTTCTCCAGGCTGAGCCCCCCCAGCTCCCTCAGCCCCTCCTGCTGCTCCAGCCCCTTCCCAGCTCCGTTCCCTTCCCTGCACACGCTCCAGCCCCTCCAGGTCTCTCTTCCATGAGGTTCCACACCTGGACACAGCTCTGAAGGTCCCTCAGCAGTGCCAGCACAGGGGACAATCCCTGCCCTGGGCTGTGCCCACACTATCCCTGATCCAGGTGCCACTGGGCTCTTGCCCCCCTGGGCTCGTGTCCAGCCACTGTCACCAGCACCCCCAGGGCCTTTCCCATCCCCTGCCCCAGCCTGGGGCATTCCTGGGGTTGTTGTGACCCAAAGGCCCTCGGACATGTTGCAAAGAAGAGCACAGTGACATGACAGGTGTATGAACAGCTTTACTTTGGTCCACTAATAACATGTACATCATAAAAGTCTTCAATACTAAAGAATTTGATTCCTTTATGATTCTGTCCTGCACTTTCTTACTGCTTCCCTCTGTTCATGCTGCCTGTTCACTATCACAGATTCAGGTCCTGCTTTAAAACAAACAAAAACACCCTCCAAAGTTATATTAAATAAAGATCCTACTTTTACATTGCTTTACTTCCCTGAGTACAGCTGGACCAAACCAAGAATGCTGACTAAAACAACCAGGAAGGTGAAGAACTGCCAGTTCTGCAAGAGTCAGCATGCTCATTTAAATAAATTAAAAATAAATAAACTCTTAGAAGGTCAAAGGGTCAAAAATCCCTTTCCAGTTTAACCATTTCCCTTCCCACTGGCTCTTTGGAACCTGTCTGTGTGTATAAAATTAGGAAATAAAAGCAGCATGTGCTTTGCTCGGAAAATAAAGTGTTAGGGTCCCTAAGCCAGTGATTCCCTCTGGGATATACAAATCCTGAGGAGAGAACCTTCTCCCAAAGCTTTCAGGGATCACCAGGAACATGTGTGAGTGCAGGATGACAGGATACAGCATCTGAGAAAGGGTGAGAAAGAAAACCAGCTTAGTAAATCTAAGCCTGAACTAGAAATACAAACCTACCAGCCCAGTTTCAGCTGTTTAAACTGAAAATTAATAAAAACTCTGCCATTCACTTCAGAGCTCCTGAACCAGTACTTATTCCCACGTTGGAGGTTGCACTCCACAGGACACTGATCCTAAGCAGCTGCTGAGCAATGCAGTTTATGGAAAATATAAAAATATCAGTGGACTTAACTCTTGTTTTAACAAAGTTTGCCCCTAAAAGGCAAGATACACAAAACCACCTTGAAACTTCATCACTAAACACAACTGTGTTCGTATTTTAGAAACGAAATAATGAATCCAGATAAACATTTATCCTGAATTTACAAAACTCTGCTGTGCCCCATTAAGGACTATGCCCTAAATAAAATTTCCTGGGACAAAAATGATTTAACTTAGGTTATTTTTGAACTTCACCTTGAAGTTATAAGGGGAAAAAAACCCGAGTATTTCTCTATGCTGAGATAAAAAAAAAAGAGTATTTCTCTATGCTGAGATAAAAAAAGAGTATTTCTCTATGCCAAGATAATGTTCTGGAAAGCAGAGTGATGTGATGGTAAACACACACAATGTCAGTGAGGTTGTTGGAGAAGTGGCTCTCACTGACTGACTCCCTTTTCCATGATCCACTTCCATTTGTACAGGGAGTTCTGCCATTAATGACTGTTGTTGTGCAGCTGCACAAACTTTTTAATCCCCAAGCCCTTCCAGATCCTATTACCAAGTCCAATCTGCTGGAAAACTAATTCACAAACCTGTATTTCAGTTCAAAGGAGCTGGGTTAGGCTAAATCTGATATTCTAATTCTAACACATCTTCTATTGAACAACGAGATCAGGAACTGCCAAATTTTCCAAGTGTGGGAAAAAGGAACCTGCAGAGAGGGAGGAGGAAACCTGGAGTGGGGAAGGACAGAGATTTCCTGGAGCTGGGCTGTGTGGCTCCCACCAGCACAACTCCAAGGAAAATGTATGAATTTAGAGTTGCTGTGTGTTCTCATTGTTAATACCTGTTCAAGCAGGAACTCGCATGTTTTTCCTGGGGGAATTTTCTATTTTCTACACAAGAATTCTTTCCTGTCAACAACAGCCACCTCAAACATTCTGAAAACAGGAGATGAACTGCAATGGCGAGAAACTGGAAAGGTTTAATCAGTGGGAAATCTAACATTCAAGCACTTGAAATATGGAGGAACAACAGTAGCAAAAAGGTCTGGAATGTCAGAATCCTCCACCTCAACCTTTCCACGCATAAAGAAAACAGAACAAAGTTGTTTTGTTTGTTTTTCTATTTTATAAAGAAAACACACAAAAACCCTTAGGCCCAAGAGTTCACCTGCATGTCATAATCTTAAAAGTTTACAGTATAGAAGTCACATTAATGATCAAAGTACTACCTGTCAGCAGAACCCTCTTCACCAGCACCAAGAGCCTCTGGAATTGGCAAATTCACTTCTTCACTGGTAACTGGGCATCAGTAATGGAAGTACAGAACATTTTAACATCTGCACTAAGTCAAGTTGTGAAGTTATCAGCCTTCTCACTCCTCTTTTGATGCAAGGCTTGCATCCAACCAGGTTTTTCTAGTGTGTACTATTACTTAGAAGCCTGTTACTATTGTAGATGATCTCATACAGCATTAGAGATGTTTGAAATCTGTTCTTGAATGTTGCATGACCTAGGTAGTATTTCATTGCAGCACCCATAACAATAATACTCAACATACTGCTATTAACCTGTTTGCAGTGTTTTAACATCTTTTAACTCTTGTTATATGTAATAAAATACCAGTAAAGACAAAAAAATTGCCCCTATAATGAGGCACATTTTGGCATCTGTGCTAAATGCTGCTACATGGGCAGGCAAGTGCAAGTCAAAAATACGAAAAGGAGAAAAGTCATCATCTAATCACATTCGTAACTTTTTCATAGAAAAATATAAATATATTCCCTGAAATGTAGGACGAAGAAGAGCCAGCATCCATCGGAGGAGTTCTAGTGCTATTACCATTAAAAAAAAAACAAAAACAAAAACCCAACAAAACAAAACAAAAAAAAATAATAAAACAAACAAACAAACAGAAAGAAGGTGGCCTGCTGGCTTTCCTTGTTTAAGGTTACGTGTCGCAGTCCCCGTCGTCGTCGCCGTCGTGGTACCGCACAGTCCGTCTGCCGCCGTTCCGCGTGCGGATCTTGGAGCGCTGGTTGGCCCGCCGGTATTTGGTGTATTCCACGTCTTCCGAGTCGTGTTCCTGGCTGGGTTTCCAGCGTTTCCTCTGCTGGGGTCTCCTGCAAGGCTTCAGGGAGTTGGGGTTGGTGATTTCTTTCCTGCTGGTTCTCGGTTTCCTTTTCCTCTTCCTCGTTTCCGCGGCATCGCTGCAGACGCTGTTTTCAGTCCCAGAGTCCGAGTCGGAAAAGCAATTGAAGCTGCCTTTGGAACTTCCTGCAGTCCCAGCTGCTTCCACATCCTCTGACACCGAGCTTTTCTCCTCTTTCTTCCCCCTAGTTTCAGATTCTGTTGTTTCTTTGGAGCCACCCAACAGTTTTGATCTTTTGGAAGAAGCTCGAGATTTTTTATTTGCTGCTACTCTGGTAGTTTTAGTTTCGGGTTTAGCCAAGTCAGAATCTACCTCCTCTTCAGAGTTACTCGTACAATGGTTGTGGGCTGAGGCTGACTTCCTAGAAACCCCCCAGCTCCTCCCATTTTCCACCCTGTGGTTGGTGGAATTCTCCTCTGAAGAGTCATAGTCAAGATTATTCAGCGCCCCAGCACAGACTGATTTATGTGCCTGCCTGTGGTTCTGCTTTTGAGTCTCTGCCTCAGATTCAGTTTTTTCATTCTCAGACTCACTGATATATTTCCTTTTAGGAGCAGATGACTCAGGGCAGGAAGGTTTTTTCCTGCCACAAAACTGCTCTTTCTCATTCTCAGACCTCAAAGAAGCGTCTCCCTCCACGCTGTCCACCAGCTTCTTCCTGCACACCCCGGGCGCGGTGCCCGGGAGCTGCTTTCGGTTCTTTTTTACTGTGCAAACGCTTTCTGAGCTCGATAATTCTTCCTTGGCATCACTCATGATCTTGATTTTGTTGGCTGCCAGGGTGGCACATCTGCGGGGGTTCTTCTTCTCATTGGACATCTTGATGTGCTTCTTGTAGTTGATGATGCAGGTCCTGCTCCGCAGCACTTTCCCGCTCTGTCCCGTCTCCTCACTCGTTGATTCTGCAAAATAAACACGTGAAAGTTCTTTTTAATGCCTTACATCCCTGAAATAATTAGTTTATTAAGCACAAACGCTGCCACCTTTAATAAATGACACAAAAGCGTTTGGTTTTTCTTTAATTTTAACTGTTATGTGTAATTTCCCTTAAGCCTTTACTGAAAACACAGCCAGTCCCAGGGATCCTTTTCACTCTTGGGATTGCTCTGCTGTTCCTTTCCAACCCTTTATCATCTCATCCTTTAGCATCACTCTGCTAATTAGCTCAGAAATGACAAATTACCTACCTTAGTAAACAAATGCTTTCCTATTACTAATACTTATTATCATCTTACTAGAATAAAACTTGCAAAATTAATTACACATTTCAGACCTTTTGTTTCTAAAAATAGATTATAATATTTTGTGTATGTATTATTTATATTTCATAAAATGGTTTCATATGCAGAGAGATTTAAACCCTTCAGTTCCTTAGTGACTTAAACACTGAGATTGCTGCTGACAGTGAATCTTCCACTCAGTAGTTTGATTTTTAACACAGAACTTCTGATGTTGGAATTTAAAACAAATTTTCCATCTGTAAATCCTGTGAATGATGCTGTGTGAAGATTAATGGTATGAATGTTTCCCTTCTAAATAAAAGAACTGTTCATATGTATCAATTAAAATCAAAAGCACAAGTTCTTGAAGTAAATTTAAAAAAATAAGAGGGAAAAGCTATGGGACATAAATTCCAGTACCAATATTAACAACCTCTTCATACACCAAATCTGGTCCTTATTTCAATGTAAATCCTTGCATGAACTGCTCGGTATATTCTTATTTTGACATTTCCAAAGGATAATTCATCTCCTGTCTTTTCTAACAGCTTCCAGGAATTATCCATGAATACTACTACTGTTACTACTTGTACTGTGTGATTTTATGGCCAAAACACACCACCTTCCTGCTGAATACTGCAAAAACTGTACAAAAGGTGAACAAATTCACAGATAAAAAAAATGAAGGGTTAAATCTTAAATTATACACTCTTCTCCAATATTATTAAGACTAAAGTTTAAGGAGGCCAGCTCTTGTGCCAGAATATTAAATCTATACTTTGTACACAAGACCTTGAATTGGGAACAAATCTGTATGATGAAGTTCATCCTGAACATCCCCAGTTCAAAGCTGCAAAGGTACAAACAAGTGGCACAGGCAGAAAGGGGGAATATTAAACCAACTCCCCACAAAAACTGGGAGAGAGTTTAAAAGATGGGAAATTCTTGCCCACCAAGCTGTCCTGGAGTTCATCATAACTCCAAACCTGGAATATTGGGTAGGAAAATCCAGCCATAGCTCCAGTCAGCTCATCTGCAGGGGGTCCTGCAGTCCACAAATACTGACCAGCTACAAAATGTATGTGAAAACTTGGCTTTGAATTTTAATACATAAAACCCCATGGTAAATAATATGTATCTATAATATGTATCTATAATATATATTATAGAGAATATAATATACCAATTACAGTACTATATATATATACACTATATATAGGCTGTGGTTTATACATTAAAATATACTGCATGTTATATATATATTTAAAAAAACCCCTAAAGTAAAGCTTCCATATAAATTGTTTAGCTGGTTACTTGTGCACTGTATATATATATATATATATATATACACATATATACACATATATAAATATATATATACATACACATATAAATATATATATATACACTCATGTGTATAAAATATACACATTTATTTGAAAACAGATATTATATAAATACAAATGTTTATATATGTATTTAAATAAAAGCATGATATGCTCCAGCAGTACCTGAAATGAGGTGCTAGAGAAGCTTGAGAATGGAAATGTTACCAAAAGCTATAAATTCTCACTGAATCAAGTATATGTACAAATATCTTCCCTCTTTGCTGTATTAAGTCTCAAAGTAATGGGTACAGGACTCCCAAAAAACTCCAAAGCAGTTTTATATTTGACTCAGAAGATCTGACATAGGAAGCACATTCAAGTAAGATTTTTCCATTTTATAAGGCTGTTAAAAAATTTCCCTCCCCCCAGTTTTCTTCTCCTCCCCATTTTCCAGCTGGATCCTTTCCCATTGCTAATGATAAAAAAGTAAGAAACATTTTCAGTATGTTTAGCACATATAAAAACTAAGATCTTAGTATAAAACAAATAAGCATTCCTTGTGGAAATTCATCTGAAGAGATTCAGCTTAGATTTTAGATTCATCTTCAGAGATAATAATTTTCTTCTCAAGATTTTTAAGGCACAGTGAGAGGTTTGGAAGGATGAGACCTGAACACCAAGGTCAGAAGAGTCTTTCAAATTCCAAACCAGGACTAATTCCCTAATAACAGAGACACATAATGTACAGTACCTGTCTTAATAAACCTCAGCATTGTTGTGATAATCTTAAAAAAGCCCCCCAAACCCCAACTCTCCAAATCACAGCACACACAACACACACAAGTATTTGAGTTACAGACAAACCTATAGAAAAAAAACCCCAAAATCAAAGAATTTAGCTTTTTGAAACAAGTGAAATGATAAATCTTGCTTTGCCAAGTGCCTCTCTGTGCTAAGGACTCTGACAGATTGAAATCCAGAAGTCAAATCAAGTGACAGGTTCTGGTGCCCACCACGGATATGAGAATAATTAAAACACCTTTCAAGCAAATTCGTTTGGAAAAGCTCTCAGTAAAGTTACTCAAAGTGAAAATGACTGTTGTAAATCAGTGCCAGCACAGAAAATTTTAACAGGAAATTCAGATAATCTTTACCCACAAACCAAAAGCAAGAAAACTACAAACCAGAAAGTTCTGGTTACTGAAATTCTCCAAACAAGGAGCAGGTCACAGAGAGAGATTTTTCTCTGTCATCCCTCAGTATCAGGAGTTAGAGGCATTAACTTTTAAAATTTTACCTTTTCTAATGATTTTTGGTCTTCCTTTTCTCTTCCTCTTTCTTGCTTTCAAAGGAGTTTCACAGTAATTGCTGTTGTTGGAATCAGCCTCAGAGTCCGTGTCAGAGGAGTGATGGAAGCTGGAACAGGGGCCGGATTTGGAACTCCCTGCAATCCTGGTTGGCACCAAGTTCTCTGAGGGGAAAGTTTTCCACTCCTCCCTGGTTTCTGTCTCAGATTCTGCTGTGTCCTCTAAATCACTCAGGACTTTTGCTTTTTTTCCAGAAGCATTGAGCTGCTTGCCAGCTGCTTTCCTGCCATCCCACCGATCCAACTCGGAATCCGCCTCATCCTCCGAGTTGCTCCCTGCAGGTTTATTGTGTGCAGATGTTGATTGGTCACCAACTTTCTGACTGCTCCCATCCTCGGAATTATGGCTTTTGGAGTCCTCCTCTGAAGAGTCTGGGCTGGGACTTTTCCCTTTGGGAGACACAGGACGGGCTGGGCCCCGGAACTGTTTGTGGCCGTTGCTTTGCCAGGTTTTCTGGCACGTCTGCGTGTCCGGCTCGGAATCTGAACTCCCATTTTCGGATTCACTCACGAATTTCCTCCGTGGAGCAGATGAACCAGGCTGAGAAAGAGTTTTCCTCTTGGTGAGCTGCTCTTCTAATTCTTTCTCACTCTCTGACTTCAAGCCTGTGTCATCCTCGGATCTCTCCAGCAGCATCCTCCGGGCGGCGGCCGAGGCGTTGCGGTGAGGCAGCTTCCTGTTCCTGCAGCCAATTCCAATGCTCTCAGAGCTGGAAACCTCTTCCTCCACGTCACTCATCAGCCTTAATTTATTGGCAGCCACAGCAGCACTTCTTCGTGGGGTTTTCCTGTGTCTGCCAGTGCTGTTGCTGAGGGAGTCAGATGTCACCACGGAAGTGTTTTCAGAGTTACTTACGTACAACTTCTTCCTGACAGTTTTCCTTGTGTTCCCGTTCTCCTGAAGAACTGTTCCTGCAAAGGAAAGCACAGATTAAAATCTTAAATATAAAAAGAGCAGCTTCTGAAGTCTTGTCAAATCTGGGACAGGCTCAAGCCACAGACATGATAAATAAAATACACTCCTGGTAAACAGTCAGGTTGTCATAAATTTCAGATTCACTCTACTTCTGTGAAAATTAGAACTTCTTCACAAATTGTTGCTTTTTCATTAAGATATGAAATGTTGCGAGATATTCCCTCTTGGTTTCTGCCCTCCTCCCCTAAGCACTGAAAAAAAACCCAACAACACTTTAAAAGTTGAGTGGAGTATTTGGGAGCTTCAAAACTGCCATCAGTAAAAAAATTAGTATCTTACCTGTACAACGATTTAAAAAAAACACACTAACTGCACTTATTTTTATATATAACATATATATGGACTTACAGACACTTGTGTTATTTGATTTGACCCTAAAGCCCTCAGCCCTCACCTGTCTGTTTTCTCTGAGCAGCTCGATTCCGGGTCATCCTGCGACTGCTGCCCTTCCTCCTGCACAGCCCGTTGTGCAGAGGGGGGGACACCACAGCCCCAGGACATTCTTTGCTGTCCTCTGAGCTGCTTGTGGAGGATGAAGATGAAGAGGAAGTAGATAAAGAGACCACTGAACCTTCACTTTCTGTTAGAAAAAAAACCAAACAGTAGTTGGCAATTAGAATTCCAAAGGGCTTCCAGTTAGGAGCTACATTTTGCTGATCCAGGGGATCTTCAATATTTCCTCGCAGTTTTGTCTTAAAATTCACAATCCTGCCTGAATGTCTTACAGGGATGAGATTCCATATTCCTGCAGTGCCAGGAATCTTCTTCAACCTGTGTTTAAGTTGCAATTAAAATACAACAGCTCTTTTCAAGCAACAGATTTAAAAGAAAAGCTTGTTTTAAAAAACACCACCACAAAACATGTTCTGACAGGTTTCACCAGGACTTGCA